GGCGACACCGTTGCTCGATGAAGCCTTGGTGCAACCGCTGCAGCAAAACCACCCGGCTCTGGTGCCCAATTCTGATGCGCGAGCTCGCTCCGCCGCGCGCTCGACTGTCCTCGTGACCCTGCCGTTGCCACGTCGGACCCTCCTGTACCCTCGTGCTGAACTGCTTTGCCCTCCTTGCCAACCTTCGTCCCGGGCCCTTCTGGCATCACTGCGGAAATTCTCAACGTTGTCCTCGTCGATGATGATGACTCACGCCAGGCTTGCTCCGATTTTGTGTCCCAAATTGCATATGCTCGTGTGCCAGATGAGTGAGTGAGACCTGCGGCTTGCAGGTCTCACTCACTCACTCGTGTGCCAGATGACATGATGCCAGCCCTTGGTCTCGGGCGTGTCGTCGCGTTTGTCCAACCAAATGCAGGAACGCGATGGCATCAGTCGAGGCGGTGTTGCGTGAGTTGCGGGACGTTCCCGAAGCGGCGGCGCTCTTGCCCTTCGCGCGTTTCTGTTTCTGGTTGGCACGCACATCCACCTATGTTTGGCAACAAAGTGCGGCCGCCATCTGGAACAGGGCCGGGGTCGTCCCTGAGGGCTTGCAGGCCGTTTCCGCCACCTCCCGCATTTGGTTCGGGGATCCGTAGCTTGCCGCTGCCGAGCGGGGCTCGTGTTGCTTGGGACGCCATTCGGCGCTCCCGAGTTCGTGCACGCACATTTGATCACTTTTGCAAAAAGCTCTGGAAGAGCAGGCCGTCCTCAACAATTGCCAAATCTGCACGACACACACGTCGCATGGTTGCTCCTGTCTTGCTGCGCGTGCACGCAGGCACAGTATGCCCTCCGCACCCCTCTTCTGCTAGCACCCACGAAGAGGCTGTTGCGGTGCCTCGACTCTTTCCTGTTTGCTGATGCTGCTAAGGGCTTGCCCGGACAAGTTGCCGCTCGTGTGCATTTGGCTCTACGCCATGGCGGTCTGGGGCTGCGGGCTGCCCGCGTCCTGGCAGGACCTACACGGTCAGGCGCCGCCTCTGCTTGGCGACGACGACCCGCAGCTCGACAACACACGTGGCTTTTGCAAGCGAGCCCTGTTGCGGGAATTGGATGCCTCCTCCGCAGCCCTGTTCGACCCCCAGGCCAAGCTCTGGAATCCTCGTTGTTCCGTGAGTTGCTTTTGCGTAGGCTCCGTTTGCAGCTCCCGCTCACTGCAGCTAGTTGCCGGTGCCACCAGCCACATGCTGTTTGCGGAGGCCACATTGCAGCCTGCTCCAGATCTTGTGTTTTGCTCTCACGTCGAGGCCCGCTCGAACGAGCGGCTGCCATAGTTTGTCGGGAGGCTGGCGCCACTGTCGCGACGCATGTCCTCGTATGTGACCTGAACATCGTCCCTGTCCGTGCGGATGAACGATGAATCGAGGCAGGAGCTGCCGGGCCACCTTGTTTGTCAGGCTGCCCGCTCGATGTCGGGCCCGAGCAGCAGGGGCGTGCACTTCCGCGTTTGCGCTGCGCTGGTCGAACCACCGCTGCCAGCTAACGTTGATGGATAATGGCTTCTCATCAGCGACATCGGTGCTGACTCCGCGGAGAAGCGCCTTTGCCAGTCGCATGCCGTAGGTATCCGTAGGTAATGTAGGTATGCATGGGTGGTGCGTGGCGCCGGGCTATTTCACTGGGACCGCGAAAGGGATGCGTGCCCATGTCCGGACTGCCTTAGACATGGCCCGCTTGATGGCTTTGCGCAAACCCGATGGCGGTGTGCGGGGCATTGCGACGGGCGATGCCTTTCGCCGCCTCGTCGCCCGCACGCCTGCCAAGCAATGGGCGACCGTGTTTGACGAAGCCACGCGCCCATACCAGTTTGCGCTGCAAGCGTGGGCGGGCACGGATGCACTCGCAGCTCACGTGCGGGTCGCACGTAGCCGGGATCGCGGACAAGCCGTCGGCCCAGCGCGGGATCGTGGCGCTGGGCACGCCGGTTGGACACGCCGATTTCGTCCAAGCACCGGCCTCAACTCCCAGACCTCCAGTGCGCCTGGCTGTTGCTGTTGTTCCGCGTCGCCCTGCGCCAACCATGCCTTGCGAACGCTTTCGCCTTCGGAGTCGGCATGCTATGCTCGGCGCACGACCAGGCAATCTGGGGGGCACTCCAAGCGTGTTTGGGGGTGTGCCTCCGGCAGAAGCGCTGCGGGCCTGGCCACTTGCATCGCTGCCAGCTGTCTATGGCGGACGTGGCTTGCAAGTCCACACTCCAATCTCAGACCAGATTCCAGATTTACCAGTTCAAAAAAAATGTGGAACAAATTGCTAAAAAAACTTCTGACAACACGAAAACATGTCTCAACACCCCGGTGTCTCGCTCGCTTCGCTCGCCAGCTGGATTGGCAGTCGGCGGAGCGGACGGCTGCTGTGGACCGCTGCTTGGCGGCTCTGGAGCAGGGCGCAGAAAGCACAATTCCTTGCTTGCGTGTGTGGGGACCACGCCCTGGGGCTTCCCCCCGCACGGCCACGCTGGGGGGCGGGGGGGGGGGAGGCGTTGTGCTGCGATGCCACTCTCGTCTCCCGACTCACGCGGACAGGGCGTCCACAGCCGGGCGCCGCTGATACGGACGGCGCCGTGCTCCGGGTGGCCGAACGCCACAAGCGGTCCACCTACCCAAAGCTCTGCAGTGCGGGGTCTCTTGGTCCTGGGCGCGGAGATCGGGGGGCGCTGGAATGACGAAGCTGACAAAATAAAAAACTGGCCGCTTCATGCACCACCTCCCTTAGTGCCGCCCCGAGGGCCCACACCATCTCTAGCACCAGCTCACCCGGAGGAGACACCAGGCCCGGGGACACTTTTTTTTAACCTCAGGTCATTGATGGTGCGGTTTTTAGGGGGTTGTTACTGACCCTTGGACCGTTGCGTCAAGACCACTGCTGCCCTAGTTCTTCTGCATCATGCACAACATTTTCTTCTCGCGTTTTTTTCCGCCGTCGGCGGGGTCATGCGGGTCTAAGGCCGCAGCGGCGGAAGGCCGGGCCCAGCGCAGTCGGCCAGCGCCAGGACGGCTCCAGAGGAGGTGCCGCGCTGAAACCTTTGCAGTCCAGCCGCGGTTGGGCCCAGGGCAGTCTCCGCCACGGCCACTTGCACCGCGACGGACAACAATCCCCACCACCGACGCGCCCAGCCGCTCGCCGCGCTGCGGCGCGCAGCAGCCAAAGCGCGGTAACCCCGCAACCGTGTCAAGGTCCGCAGGAAGTTGCGGGCCTGGTCGTTCCAGCGCCCGCCAACCTCGTTGCCGAGGACTAGCAGGCGCTGGGGCCCGGACCCACACAGCTCGGTGTACGCGGACTGCTTCCGGCGCTCGGCATGGCGCAGCGAGGCCCCATCAACTATGGTGCGTTAGGGGCGACACGATGGTGGCGTCACAGCAAAGGGCACCTCCCCAGCTTGTGGCCCCGTAGCGCCAGGTCCATGCGACGCTGGATGGCGCTGGTCCCCCGCACGCTCCCGGTACGGTGGTCCGTGCAGCAGCTGCTGCGGGGCGACATGACCTTCCGGGCCAACGGCCTCGCGAGCAACGCGAACCCAGCGCTCCACGACTTTCGCCCGCCTGCCAGGCGGCCCGGCCCGTGCGCAGGCATGCCAGAGCATGGTCGCCGAACGGGATCCTGCGCCCCCGCAGCAGTTGGGTGCGGGCGATTTGCATGGCCGGCGGTGGGACTGTCAGGCCTGGCTCGGAGGGTACTGCGGAGAGCCAAGCTGCCCGTTCGTTTAGGAGGTCCTGGAATGCCGCAATGCCCATTGTTGTCCGCTCTCTCACGCCTAACTCCACGTCACGAACAGATAGGACATTCAATTTTCATTTTTTCCCGCGGCTCATTTTTTTTTTTTTCTTTCTCGCGCCTTTTTGCCAACGTCCAATGCGGTCCCTGTGCTCTAGCCCCAGCTGGGCGACATCCTACGGGCAACAGGCAGCGGGCGGTCATGCCAGGCGGCTGGCGTGTGGTGGCTGTGCAGTTGAGTTTGTGAGGATGTCGCTCAGGGGCGGCAGCTCCCCATCGACATTGGCCGTGCCTGTGACAGGCAAAGAGAGCAGGCTTCATTTCCGCCTGCAAGGCAGCTGTCCCGCTGCATCAGACTACGCCGCCAGCGGCAGGCTTACTACCTGCATCGAAGCGCCAGCACGTCGCCTGCACGTCGCCTGCACGTCGCCTGCCTGGCTACGGGCGCAGCGGCAAGCGACTAGGGCCCGCAGGCCGCAGGGCCTGCGAGCTCAAGCGCCCGCTCGAGGGTCGTCAGCGACTCGACGAGCACCCCCCGTTTCCCCCACGTACATGGAACTGCCAGCTTGAAGCATCCACCATATAAAGACTCCAACTTATTGTTGGATGCATGCACGTGACCCGGGTCTTGCACTGTCGCCTTGGACGTCGGAAACAGGTGAGTGGACAACAACTTAACCCATGGGGATTTTCCAATGCATTGGACCTTCCGCACGGTTACCCTGATTCCTGGTTGCAAAAAATATTCTTGGAAACTGTCGGATGATCAGGTCGGACTGTGGCTATGTTCTCGGCCAAGACCTCAAACGGAGTCGTGCCACGCTGAACTCGGCCATGCGGCGTCGCCAATGGCAGGTGATCCCACCAACTTCGGTGGTGGCTGTGCTGGAGCCTTGGGTTTCTGCCTTGCTTCTATTTGCTTCTCATACTGGTTGCTTGGACCAGCAAGTGGTTTAGCTGAGGCGGTCGGAGAAGCCTGGATAGGTAAGCCGGCATGTTTGGGAATTACGCAGCTGACAGCAGATGAGCTTTATTCCGTGATGTGGCCACCATGGTGTCCATCCATGTTTTTGCTTGCTGGTTTGTGGCTCGAGTTAATGTGTCATTTGTCATATGCAGTTCATGCGCCCGACAAAATTTTGTAAGTGCCTTTGAGCCGTTCGTCGATTAGGGATGGGGCCGACATCAACAACAAGAACAGGATAACGGAACAGCGCCTTCCTTCGCCTTCATTGGTTCAAGCCATGGCCGAAGTTGCATTAAGCTTGAAGGCACACGAGTGCCGCGAATTTCATGTTCTACGTAACCAGGGATGCTCACACAATCAGGGCTGCTCACGCAACGGCTCACGGGACGCTGAAAACAATAACTAGTTAGACCGGCCATCCTTGCAATGCTGATTGTTTTTGCGGTGAACACTTTTCCGCAGGACGCAGAGCGCTGGTTGCAACATCTACTCCAGCCGCAACGAAGTCAGGGATGCCTGGAGCAAAGGAAGCAAGTCGAAGCAGCACGCGCAGCAGCGTGGCTAGGGCAGCTAGGGTTTCGATGGGTCCGGCTTCGAAAGGGGTCTAGGAGAGTCTAGGAGGTCTTGGATCATGAGTTTGGCCCCGATGAGACTCAGAGGGATGGACTGTGCTCGACTGCCTGTTCCGAAGCCTTGCGTTCTCACGGTTGAGGTTCATTCAGTCGTTTTCAGCGTATTTTTCAGGAGCAGGTAGGAGCGCAAATGCCCCCAATAATTCGGCGCAACAGGGATCCAACCGTGACCTCATTCGTGGGCGGACCTTCCAAGAAACCAAGTTGGTCCTGGATTATGCCGACCGCATTCGCCAAGCCGAGGCCGAAGGGAATGTTGCCCTGGATGTGCTTCACACGGCCATGACCGGGGTTGAAGATTTGAACTGACGACGCAGGCGGAGGAAGAGCTGAACGTGAACTTCATCATGCTCCTTGCCATCCTTCCGGTCCCTGCCATTGGCTGCTGCTGTCTGGTGCCCAAGCCCCACTGCTCAACCCAGGCTGTCAGGGGCTGCGCTTGGCGAACTGCGGCTGACTCGGCCCACGATGGCCGCCCGACGTGGGAAGGGTCAGTTCCTAGCATGGTTCAGATGTTTGATTTTAGAGGTCGTTCTACGATTGAAGTCCGGCTTTTTGGCGTTAGCTTGGTGCCTGCAATTTTGCAGACGAGCAACGGGACCTGGATGCTTCTTTGTTTGCAAAAAAGCACCTGCCGTGCCCTGCGCAGGTGCCAGAGGTGAAGAGGCAGCTTCAGTCACTGGTGGGAGAGCAGGGTTGGCCCTCGAAGCTGGTGTTGGAAGGTGGGGCTTTGGGGAGCTGGGCCCGAAAACTTAGACATGGTACCGGTAACCAAAATGCTTCCCCCCGAGGTCCCTAGGCAGCCTGTAGTCACTGCAGCCCCCCCTCGAGGCCTCGAAGGGTTGAGGGCGGTTCGGGGCTGGAACTGTGGCCTTGTGCAAGACTTGTGTCGGAGCCTTGCGGGGGCTGAGTCGACCTTTGCCAGAAGAGCGATCAGCTGGGCAGTTGTCTGGCAGCAGACCTGGCAAGATCTTGCCCAGATTCACCAGCTAAAGCCTACAAAGCACATCCCAGCACTTTTGACTAATCGGCGCACAGCTCATCACCGGCTCATGGGCCAGTTTTCAGGGTGACGAGTCAGTAGAACCCTTGCGCCAACGAGCGGAGCCGCGTGTCGCAACTGGGGAATTATCCGCCCAACACCCAGGCTCGTGTACCGGAGCCTGCTCCGCGGGCGCCAGCAGGGTTGCACCATCCCCCCCCGTAAACCCGGCGGATGTACCCCCCTACCGGCTGTCGCATCCGGAAAAAGGGCAGCAAGCCTAGTAGCAAAGGGAGTAAAGCCCCACGCATCCTTCGAGAAGAAAGTATTCAAGCAAAGCTGCCCTTGGCGTTCCGCGATATGTCGTTCTTTCCCTTTTTGACGGTTGCGGAGTTTCAAGGGCTGTCATAGCTGAGTGCCACCCTAAGCCAGAAACCAGCTTGCACGGTCCGCAGGTACCATCCTTGACAACAGCCAGACCGTCGGCAGCGCTCTGACCACACAACGGGGGGGGGGGGCCCCCTGTGGTTGCCGAGACGTAAAACCTTCTGCCAATTTTGGCATGTGGCCGGGGCGTAGTGGATGCAATTTTGTTTGCTGGGGCAAAGGTGCTGGTATCACTTTCGACACCACGATCCAGGCAAGGCACAAAAGGGTCTGGAGTTGCTCAAGCCTTGTAGCATGCGCAATTCCGATGCCTGAAGCCCAAAGCCCCTGTACCGAAGCTTTTGGGGGGCCGGCGACGCAAGAGCAAGATTTGGGGTTTGCGAAATAGGGAGGCCCCTAAACGCAGACCCCCAAATCGTAGGAATCCCTTATAATATACCCCCCTCCCCCCAAAATTTTGGAAGCCACAATTTGTGGCAAGGTCGTGGTCCAGCCGGCAGCATATCTCGTCGAGAGCGCTGGCGTGGAGAAAGTGCCCCGGCTGCCCCCAACTGCGGCTTCTCAGGTCATGACACACAAGACTCCAAAACCCTAAACCCTAAACCCTAAACCCTAAACCCTAAACCCCAAACCCTAAACCCCCAAACCCCAACTCAAGGCTGCATTGCACCCCGTTCCCCCCCCCCCTCCCCCACCGACCCTAAACCCGAACCCCTCGGGCCTGGTCGTCTGGTGGGGTTTAGATGGGTTTAGGTCAGGTCAAAAGCTAGGCGTGG